TCTTATTTTGTCCTTCTTTTCTGGTTTAGTAACGTTTAATTCTTTCTTTTCATTATTAAGAATTGGTTTTGTAGTATTCACTGGTTTTGTTTCGTTCACTGGTTTTTTGATAGTCAATGGTTGTGTGGCATTCAATTGGTTTGTTCCATTTATTGGTTTTGTTTCATTTACTGGAGTTCTTGTCTTTTTTGATTGAACGACTGGAGTTGTTGTAGGTGTTTTAACAGTTGCAAAACACACAGCAAGCATCATAACAAATAAAATAGCTTTCATAGTAAAAAAAATAATATAAAATTTTTAAGTTCTTTTTTATTTTTTATTTTATTTTTGTGATTGGAAAAATTTATTATTAATTTTGGAATAAATAACATAAAAACAAAATTCTAAAAATAGTATATGACGAAAACGAAAAAAATTTTTCGGTGTTGTTTCGGTTTTTTATGAGGTTTTGAACAAAGAAAAGCATCCGAACTTTTAATCTTTAAAACAATAAAAGGATGTCAAAACAAATTAAGGTGTTATTGATTAATGGAAGTCCAAGAGAAAATGGTAACACTTTTACTATGTTAAGTTGGGTAAAGGAAGGATTAGAAAAAGAAGGAATTAATGCAGAAATTTATCAACTTGGAAGGAAAGATATTAAAACTTGTAAATCTTGTTGGGGATGCATGAAGACTGGAAAGTGTTGGCAAGAGGATCCGGTGATGGATGAGTTAATTGAAAAAATAGTTGCTGCAGATGGAATTATTATTGGAAGTCCAACATATTATGCTGACGTTCCTGGTGTTGTCAAGACATTTATTGATAGAACAGTACCATTTGCTATTAAAAATACATTAAATAGAAAAGTAGGAGCAGCAGTTGTTATGGCAAGAAGAGGAGGAGCTATTCACGTCTATGATACTATCAACCATTGGTTTGGAATCAATGGTATGATTACTATTGGATCAACTTATTGGAATGATGGATATAATCCAAATGTTACTGATCAACACGAAGTAGAAAAAGATAGTGAAGCTAAAAACACAATGAAGAATTTAGCAGAGAATATGGCATTTGTTCTTAAGAGAATAGTTGAATAACAATTAAGTAGATATTACTAAGAATAAATGAATTCAAATTTTTTTTTCTTTTTTTTTTGAAAGAACTTAAAAAGTATAAAAAGAAAAGATGACAATTCTTGAAAAAGTGTATTTAGCAAATGTTTTATTATACTTTTCTGATTATATCGATTTCCTTCAATTTTCTTTTATTAATTCAAAATGTCAAGATACGTTACATATTATAAAACAATTTCCTTATGGAATAAAATTAAGTAAAAAGATTTATCAAGTCTTCAAAATGAATACAAAAATTAATAAAATACTCAATATTATTCCCAATATTGAAAGCATAACTGTTCCAAATGTATTATACGTTTCAATAATTAATAAAAACATTCAACAAATAGGAATTAAAAGAATTACTATTCCACAGATTATTCAGTTAAAACAATATGACAATATAATTTCAATAAAAATAATTATAAGTTATAATGAATTTATAGATTTAAGACCATATCATCAACTAAAACAAATTTATATTGTTGATATAAATAACACAGATGAGACAATGTTTATTCTTGATCACCTTAAACGGTATTCATTTTTTAGATATAAAACAATTGGCTTTTCTACTCAAAAAATATATGACAGATTAAAAGATTGTGATATTGAAAAGATCATTTTTGATATTATAAGTGATGAAGACAATAATATTTCAAAATCAATTCTTCGTAGATTGCCTCATGTATTCTTTTATAAAAGAATACTCTCTGATAATGATAAACATTTCCAATCGTTTATTTATCATGGAAAAAATTTAAAAGTTATAAGTAAGTCAATAAATTTGATTACACAATTCAATTCATTATACTTTCCTTCTAGTTTATCTTTTAAAACAATTCCCTCTTGTGTTCAAAAATTTACTCAATTAACTTCTATATCAAGTGATTATTGTGATATATCTAATATTCCAAATAATGTATTATCTTTTAAAACAATTTCATACAATAAATTAATTTTTCCACAAACATTACAATCATTAACACTTAGACTATACAAAAATATTGATATACCTTCAATACTGACGTCTTTATTCTTAGAAGATATAACAGTTCCATTAAAGTGTGAATATGATGAAACACCAAATTGTTTTAATTTAATAAAATGTTCATTACTTAAGGAATTAATGATTCAATGTTATGACATTGAATTTACAAGTTTGAAATCATTACAACACTTAACTAAGATAAGTATTATTAGAAAATACCCATCGCATATTTCATATAATAGTCAATTATTCCCATTAAAACTTCAAGAATTAAGATGTGATGAATTACTTTTACCAAAAAAACTTAGAATTAAAAAATTAGTTATTGACTGTTCTTCTACTTCAAGAATCAATTTAATTCAATACAACTCATTAACTTCACTAAAAATAAATTCTCTCTGTCATAAAAATATTCTTCTTCCATTTTCATTAATAAAAATTCATTTTAATGGTTTATACAATAGAATTGAAACATTAAATTTATCCAATGAACCTTCTTTAAATCAAATTATTATAGAAAATTGTAAGGCTCAATTATTTATGAAATTACCAGAAGATTTTGATTTATTATGTATTATCAATTCAAGTAATTGTATGTTAACTTCAATATCAAATATTAACAAAGTAATTATCCATTCATCTTTAATGGATACTTCTAGAATTTATAGTAATATGATAATTACTAATTAACAACTTATTACAAATAAATTAATTTAATTTTAAACAAGAGTTATAGTGAAGAAGTCACAACGTGTTTCAGTAATCTCTCATTTGAATGAATCATTCTTTCTATAAATGGACTACAAGTAATAGCAGTTCTATCACCATTTATCAATTTTCTGATAAGGAAATCAGAGAAATCAATAGAATGATAATACCATTTATCTTCAATAAAAGGAGGAAATGGTTTAATACATGACTTACACACAACATTAATTTTATACCTTTCATTCAATACATCATTCCTTTCTGGTGTGATTACAATAAATATATGATTAAGACTAGAACTAATAACTCGTGGATCAAAGCAATCATGTTCATCACTTTGTTCTTTAAATATAATAACAACAATATCATTTCCAATAAATCTTTTTCTTTCAAGCTGTTCTTCTCCATTATAATAAGGAAGTAATGGAGCAACGTGATATACAATTTCAAAGTTAAATTTATCATAATATTGATAATACATAAACTCACCTGTTTTACCATTAATAATATCAAGTCCACCACTATAATTTTGCCACCCTTTTAATTGTTTTTTGGTTCCAATAAGATTCATAAATTTCCAAAATGCTGGTGAACATTCATTATTTTCATATGCTTCTTCTTCACTTCTTTGATTCTTTTTCATATAGATGACCCCAAATTTATATTCAGTCACAATTAATTTGGATTCAAAAAGTAAAAGTTCCTCTTGAAACTTTATTTTTGGTTTCACTCTAATTGGTTTTTCTTTGAACCCATTTACAGTTTGCCACCATTTATAACACTCATCATCATCAGTTAATAACACTCTATGAATTCCTTTATTATTAAAAATAATAATAAATTGAAGAGTTAAAAGTCGTTGATAACATAAAATAGTTACATTGTCACGGAAAACATAAAATTGAGTTTGTGCTAAAAAATAAGTATTTTCTTTTTATTAGTAAATTATTCAGTAAAAATAGATTAGAGAAAGCAAACATTTACTAAAAAATAATTCTTTGAAGAATTTATAATTATCATCAATATTAATTACTTCATATTGACTTAAATCAGTTTTATTTGAAATAGAATTACTATTTGATTCAATATGATAATTAGGAGATAAATCTTCATTAATAATATTGAATGGATGATAAACCTCATCTATCCATAATTCTTCAGGTAATAATAAACTAGACCAACAATCATAAGTTTTATGTTTGTATGGAATAGATGAGTCTATAAGAACTTTAAAAGCAGATTGTTTTTTAATTAATCTTTTATTTGGATAAACAAGATTAGGAATTAAAGAAGAATAAACAGGAATACTTTGATTTGAAAATATAACTTCAATTTCTTTTTCATTGTTAATAAATCCTGTAATCAAAGCATCTTGAATATTACTGATTAGTTGATTACCTTCTTCTTCAAAAGAAGAGATTTTAGTATATTTATTAAGGTTAATAAAAGATCTTCTACTAATTTTAGATAGTTGTACCGTTTTAGAACTTTCTTTTTCTTTTTGTTCTGATGATTTGCTTCCACCAAAAAATTTTTGAATTGACTTAACTTCTTTTGTTCCTTTATAAATTTGACTTTCTGTAAGAGAATTTGTTTCAGAAGTTGGTATTGTTTTTAATGAATTTCTACCATCTAAGTCCAATTTTACTTTTAAAGAACCAGTCTGTTTAACTAAATCTTCTGAAGAGAGAGAAGGGTGAATTTGATTTAATGGAGGTTGTTGAATAGTAGTTGAACAAGAAATAGGAGTGCTTGGTTCAGAACGAGCTATTGAAGAAACATTTGGTGATTCTTTTCTAAAAAATGAATGAGTTGGTGCCCTCTTTTTTTTATCATTTGGTGCTTTAGTAAAAAAAGAGAACTTAGGTCTCGGGGTTTCACTCATACAAACGTCGTACAACACTTTATTTTAAGTTCTTTTATCCTTCTTTTGTATTTTGTAAACCAAAAATTAAATAAAATAAAAAATAGAAATCCATCAAATATTTGGACGAAAATCGTCAGGTTCATTAGATAGAAAAGAGAAGGATATTTTTTATATTATCATTTAGTTAATGATTTTAATAAATTGTAAAATTTATTTTAAATAATTAGTTGAATAGAAGAGAACTAAAAAAGAATTTTATGGATGCAAAATATTTGAGAAGAGCAACACAAAGAGTTCAAGAAGTTAATAATTTAATTTTTGATATTCGAATTCTTAATAACACTGGAACTATTAAAGAAAAGGTTAATGATTTTAAAAGAAGAATTGATTTATTAGAGTTAAAATTAAAAACGTTACCTAGTAATGATAGTGAATATGAACAATCAAGTGATGTAAATGATTTTGAAAATGAATTAGAAATAATTGAAAATGAATTAAACATTTTGTATCAATTAGAAAAAGAAAAAACAAGTATTTGTTTTGGAATTACTAATACTGAAATTTATGAAATTATTCCAAGATGTGCACCAAAATTGAGAATAGATATTGCTGGTTGTCAAAAATATGATGGGGTTAATGCTTTAACCTTTTATTCTAATAATCAAGAAAATCAAATGTTTCAATTTATTAAATGTAAAGAACCTGGACATACTTGTTGTGTTTTAATTCGTGCTGTTCATAGTGGTAAATTTTTAGGTAGAGAAGACAATAAAGATTATTTTGGTGTTAATGTTTGTCAAACAAATGCTGATCCTAATGACGAAACTAATCATTGGTTTATTGAGTCATTTGGTAAAGGTGTATATATCATTATTTGTTCTCATGCTAATCTTGCTCTTGATATTAAAGGTGGTAATGATAAATCTGAAACTAATGTTATTTGTTGGGAAAGACATGAAGAATTAAATCAACAATTTATATTACAGCCAATTGACCCAATTAAAAGCGAACTTTTTAGAAGAAAGTTACTTGAAATAAAACCATCAACAGAACCAATTCCTTTTCTTTCATCAGTGAGACAATGGTTTCAAAAATAAACTTATTTCATTCATTAATTCTTTTATTTAATTCTTTTATTTAAAAGAAAAGAGATCAGACTAATACAAATGTTATCCTCAGAATTCAGTGTCTAACATGGAAGTCATCACTTCATTTTTACTAAATTTTCTTTTTATAAACTCCAATATAATTAAAATATAATTAAAAATTATGGAATTTTAAGGGTTAATTATTATTTAAACAAAAAAATTTCGTTATTTATATCAATAAAAAATAATACTTTTAAAAATAATAAAAAGAACTTAAAAAAAAAAATTAAAATAAAAAAGAAAAAAAGTCAACTTAAAAATTACTCCCTAAAATGGACACAAACACTGCTTCTATTAACTTTCTCATTTGGCAATACCTCAAAGAACATCAATGGAATCGTTCAAAACATATATTTGAACAAGAAACACAAGTTTATTTTGATAAAACATATTTCATTCATTTAGTAGTTATTGCAGAATTTGAACAAGCAGAAGAATATTTACTATCATTTACTGATCAAAGTTCATCTGATACTTTAGGAATTCTTTATTGTATTAGAAAAAATTTCTTTCTTTGGTTATTAGAAAATAAACCATCTTCTGCTCTTTCATATCTTCAAAATGAATTTAAATTATTTAATTCATTAACTGAAATAAATACACTTGCCCAATTAAAAAGATTTAATCAATATCCACCTGCATCAAGTTATTCTTCTACAGAAGAATATCGTAAACAAGCAGTATCAAATGAATTAGATAGAATGATTGAAGAACATTCTTCAATGAATAGAGGTCTTTATTTAGTTCCTAATGAAACATCTTTACTTCAACGAATTCTTATTAACAATGAAAGAAATACACTTCTTTCAGTTAAAAATTTCTTTTCAGAAATTCCAATGAGTACACAAGAAAAATTAAAAGTTCGTGTAGAACCAATGAATACAAAAAATGATACTATGATTAGTTCTGGAAAATTAATAACTTCATTTGATATTTGGGATATGAAAGATAGTCATTCAGAAATAGTAAAAGAACTTTTATTAAATAATGGAAATATCCTAATATTCTTTATTAATAAACAAGCTATTTTAGTTAATTCTAAAAAAAAGAAAATTTCATCAGCGTTTTCGTTAGACCATTCATCAATAGATTTATCAAATGCACATTATTGTACAAATGGAATTAATGGATTTATTATTTATAATGAAAGTGTATTAGAGTTCTATATTATAGAAGATGAAAAAGTTGATTTCTTAGGTAGTTTTAGTCAAAATAGTTTTCAAGACATTGGAAAAGCTACATGTTGTTGTATTGATGAAAAACAATTATATATTATTACAAATGAAGGTGTTCTTGTTATATATGATTTTCCTACATTAAGTCAAGCATTTGTTCAAAAAATAGGAAAACAGGCATTACATAAATTACATGTGCATGGAAATAAAATATATACTATTGATGAAAATATGAATTTTAATATTCTTCAAATAGAAGAAAATAAAGAAATTCATCGATTTACATCAAAAGAACTAAATAATGGAAATGTTAGGGAAAAAATGAAATGTTTAATTAAATATAATGACTGTGACTTTATTGAAGATGTAGATTTATGTGCTACAGATAAAGGAATATTAATATGGAGTTTATATGATTTAATAGAAGTAAATATTGAAACAAGAGATATTTTTGAATATTCAATTCCAAATAAAATTATTTATATTAAACCAAATCATAATTTTATTTTCTGTGGATTAGAAGGAAATAACTTTGTTATATTAAAGCATTTTGAAAAAGAAATTTGTCAAGACCTTTCTTTAAGACCAACACAAGGAAAAGTATTTACTAGATATTCATTAAATAATGAAAATTCAATTCTTATTTGTGGAGAAAAAGGTTCTATTCAATTATTAAATCAATTTAGAAAATATTTACCTTCTAATTATGAATTTTTAAATGAAAAAACAGAAATTCATGAAGAAGAAAATGGTAAAATGGATATAGAAGAAACAATTAATTTAAATGAACATAAAAGTATGATTAATCAACAAAATGAATTAAGAAAAAAACTTCATCTTATTGATAAAGAAATAAATTTATGTCAAAACATATTTGAAATGAAAGAATTAACTCTTCAAAAAGAAGAGTGTCAAAAAAGAATTGAACAATTAGATTTTAAACTTGATGAATTAATTGAAAAACATAAAAGAATAGAAAATAAAAAAGAAGGTATTGCATTAGAAAATAATAAAACTAAAATTCTTTATAGATTTGCTAAACTAAATGAAAATAAAAGTCAAATTAAATTTTTAATGCATTCTGAACTTAATAAAGGAATATTTTCTATTGATGAAAATGGAATATTAACTTTTACTTTATGGCCTAATCAAAGTATTAGTTATATTGCACCAGAAGTAGTTCCAATATGTTCATTTTTAATAAAACCAGGATATGTAATAAGTGGATCAATTTCTGATAATAGTTTTTATGGATTGTTTGGAACTGGACATGAGTTGTATTTATATCATTTAAAGTCTAAAAAGAATTTAATGACAATATATTCTTCTAAAAGTTCTGCCTTAGATTTAGTTATTTGTACTGATTTTTGTAAAACAGACAATTCAATTTTTTGTGTTGGATTAAGTAATGGAGATATAGTATTATATAATGTTGAAAAAACAACAGTAAATAAATTATATTCTCATCAATGTTCAGTTAAAAAGATATTATTAAAAAGTACTTATTTACTTACTCTTGATATTTTTAATCAAGGATATTATACACCAATTTCTAATAATCAATTTGGACAATCAATATCAGTTGATTATAGTTCATTAAATATTATTAATTATGATGGAAGTTGTTCAAAGCCAATTATTCTTATTACAACTAAAACCAATGTACTTATTATTCAAATAACAGAAAGTAAAACATTATATCAATTTGATGATTTACTTCCAGATGAATATTTGATTGATTCAAAATTTTCACATGATGATAGCTTTATTATTATTTGTTCAAATACTCGTTTAATTTTTATTAAAAGTAAAGATTTCAGTGTAGTTAAATGTATTATTTATTCTGAAATATTCAAAACTATTCGTATTCCTTCTTCTAATGTTGTTTCATTTGCTGTATCAAAGAAAAATCCATTACAATGTTCATTAGGTTTAATGAATGGTTGTATAATTTTTGTTGAAGCACAAACACCAAATTTATGGAATTAAAAGAAAAAAGGAGAGATAAAGATTGTTCACAACGCAATTTAAACAAGAAGTCTTAAAAAATCAAAATTTAAGTTCTTTAGTTTTGAAAAGAATTTAAGATTTTTTTTTATTTTAAACTATAACAAAATAATAAAAAACTATTATTTATTAATTCACAATTCAATCTAACATTACTTTATTCGTTTTACTATTAATTAACTCTCTAATTACATTTTTAATATATAACCGTTCTTTCTTTGGATCTATATCATTTACTATTTGTTTAAATTTTATTCCATCTGAAGGAGTATATTCCATAAACTTACGAATAAAGTATAACATAAATACACCACAATCAACCCCATTACTTTGTTGAGGTACGTCGAGTGAAAGAACTCTTTTGTGTTGTTCCCATTCTTCATCCCATGTCTTTTCTTTTTCTTTTCTTTTATATTCCCATCTAATAAATTCTAAAATATTATTTGTTAATTCATTTGTTTGAGAAATACTTTTTAAAGAATCTATTACAAGAATACATGGTGAGTCAATATAATCTTCACAACATGGTTCAATAGAAATTGAAGCATCTTTTAATTGATTTAAGTTCTTTTTTAATTCTGTATTATTTTGTGAAGAGAAAAATAAATTAGGTGATGTATCAATTTCACTGTTTGAATTTAATGTTTTTTGTTTTTTAAATGGAGAATCTAAAAGTGTTTGAGAAAGAGGGTCTTGATGTTCTACTTCAATAATACTTTTTTTATAGTTTTCACAATAACTTTTTTCTTTTCCAATTTCAATTTCAAAAATAGCTCCTTCTTCATCTGAGTTAATTCTTTCCCAATCTTCTTGTGGTTGAGACTTTTGAGTTTTGTTACAAACAATTATAGTAAACCAATGTGTTTCATAATGACATGGAAATAATAAAAATCGCAAATCTGTTAAATTTTCATCATCTTTTAACCAATTCACTAATTGATTATATCGTTGTTCTCTTAAGTCATCATCATTTACACTACAAATAGAATGAATTTTAGCACTAAAGAACGTATTAAAGACTTTAAAATGACAACTGATAAATTGTTTTTCTAATTCACCTAAATATGCATTAATAATTACGTCATTAAGCATTTGATCTTCTTCTAGTCGATTATAATCAGATTGTTTAATAATAACACCATCACTTTCAAGAAGTACTTCATCATTATTCATATCCATTATAAATTATAGTTTCCTTTTTTTTTCTCTTTTTTTCCCTTATTGTATTTTTCATGTTTTATATCACGTTTTTTTAATTCATAAAACTTCATAAGAACTTTAAAACTAATTATTATTATCTGTAAGTTCAAATACTTTTTCTTGTGACTAATTCATACAATTCGTTTCCACGTCATTTTTTATTTGAATTATTTATATATAAATTAACAAATGATGGTGTAAGATTGAAGAAGTAGAAAAAAGAAAAATGTGAAGTAAACATTTTGAAAAAGAAAAATAACAGAAAAGTTCTTGGAATGTGATAAGAACTCAGAAATAAGAAGAAAAGAATACAACTTTTAAAAGGAAGAACTAAAAAAATTAAAATTTGAGAAAGATGGACAGTGTAAAATCAGGATTTCTTGTTAAACAAGGAGGAAGTTGGAAGTCATGGAAAAAGAGGTGGTGTGTATTAACACCAACAGGAATGATATTTTATTTTAAAGATAAAAAAGATGTAAATTCTAAAGGATGTGTTGATGTGAATTCAGCGTCCGACGTTTTATTAGAAGATGAAAAGAAGAAAAATTGTTTTGGAATTGTAACACCAAATAGAACATTTTTTATGGCTGCTGAGTCAAAAGCTGAAAGAGATTCATGGATTCAAGCTGTTTCTCGATTTGTTAGAAATAAAAATTTATCAGCTATGTCTGGAAGTTCACAACAATCTAGTCAAGAAGGAATTCAAAGTAATTCTAATGGTAATTCAACCCAAAATTTAGGAGAAGGAAATACAAATTCACAATCAGGTGAACCACATAAAGTTGGAGTCGATGATTTTGAAATGTTATCCTTAATTGGAAAAGGATCATTTGGTAAAGTTATGCAAGTTAAAGAAAAATCAACAGGACAAATTTATGCAATGAAAATATTAAACAAAACACATATTATTGATAATAATGAAATTGAACATACAATGGCTGAAAAGAATGTACTTTCTAAATCAAAAAATCCGTTTTTAATGCAAATGCATTATTCATTCCAAACACCTGATAAATTATATTTTATTTTAGACTATGTTAATGGAGGTGAGTTATTTGCTCATTTACAAAGAGAACATAGATTTTCTATTGAAAGAACTAGATTTTATGCTGCAGAGTTATTAATTGGAATTAAATATTTACATGACGCTGGAATTGTCTATAGAGATTTAAAACCAGAAAATATTTTATTAACAGATGAAGGACATGTTTGTATCACTGATTTCGGATTATGTAAAGAAGGATTAACTGAAAAAGATCAAACAAATACATTTTGTGGAACTCCAGAATATCTTGCACCAGAAATTTTATTAGGAAATGGATATGGTTTTGCTGTTGATTGGTGGAGTTATGGTACATTAATATATGAAATGTTATTAGGATTGCCACCTTTCTTTGATAATGATGTTCAAACTATGTATCAAAAAATTGTTAGTGATGATGTTAGATTCCCAAAAAATACACCACCTGCTATTAGAGAATTTATATCTGATTTATTACAAAAAGATCCTGAGGATAGACTCACTAATCCTGATGTTATGATGAAACACCCATTCTTTAAAAATATGGACTTTGAAATGGTAAAAGCTAAAAAAATTAAACCACCCTTTGTTCCTAATGTTACTAGTAAAGAAGATCTTGCTATGATTTCTGAAGAGTTTTTAGAAGAGACTCAAGAAGCAATTGATGAAGAGAAACAATACGTTCCAAGAAATGGAGGAGTTGACTTCTCTGGATTTACATATGTGGGTAAATAACAACCTAATTATTTTTTTTTAAATTTATTTTTATTTGAAGGAATATCACAAATTACTTTTAAAGGGTTTTTTTTGAAAAAGAACTTTGAATGAATTATTATATGGCTGAAATTAAGGATTTAGAATATAAAGAATATTTTATGTTTGTTGAAAATGAACCAATATTAATTGACTATTTTAGCGATGATGGAGAATTAGAATGGCATCGTGCACTTTTAAAAAATAAAACAGAAATTGCATTAATTCAAATTAATTTACCTAAACATTGTATTCATGAAATTATTCATTACATTCAATTATTAAAAAAGGTTTATTCATTTAATATGGATTGTATATTACCAGTACATAATATTTTATTTGGTAAATTTGAAGAACAAGAACAACTATGGATTTTTACACAACCGATATATCCTATTTCAATTCACTCTTATGTATTTAAACAACACATCACCCAAGATCAAATGAATTTTTTAGCAGGTGATTTGTTACATATTAATTGTTCATTGTCATCTATTCAAACATTAGTATACTTTACTGAAGAGGGTTTTGTTTTATCTAGAGATCCTGCATCTCCATTTCCTCGTTTATTAGTGTCACCTTCATGTTTTATTATTCCTTATATTTTAAAACAAAAAAGTGATATTAATATTGTGATTATTCATTACTTAGAATTAATATGGAAAATTCCAGATGCTCATATCATCATTAATTCATTAAAAAATGGAATTCCAATTCAACAAATAGTTCAACACCCAATAGTACAACGTTTAGTTCATTTTATTCAAGGTGATCAAGCAGTAATTACTGATTATAAACCAATTGAAAAAATTGGAAAGGGAGGATTTGGAATTGTGATGAAATGTAGTAATTCTCATAATGAAATTGTTGCAATTAAAGAGTCTAATGGAATTAATAGTTCTACACTACAAAGAGAAGCCACAATACTTCGATTATGTAACCATCCTAATGTAGTTAAATTTATTGGGTTTTGTACTTCACAATTTTCATTTGCTTATGACTTGGGATTAGTTTCACCTAGAACTATATCTAATTCATTTTTAATAATGGAATATTGTGATGGAGGAAATTTAGATAATTATATTCAACAATTTGCTTCAAGAGGTAAATTACCATCATTAGAATTAGTAATGGATCTTTTTAGACAAATAGCTTTATGTCAACGATATTTACATTTTGAAAAAGGATTTATTCATAGAGATATTAAATTAGAAAATTTCTTATTAGTTCATCACCAACCATTTCCATTACTCAAAATTACTGATTTTGGATTTGGAAGATCTTTAGCTGATGAAATGGATACAATAGAATTTTCCCCATTATTTGCAGCTCCTCAAATGTTTGAACAAACAACATATTCTTCAAAAAGTGATTTATATTCTATTGGTGTTTGTTTATATAGACTAACAACATGTAGATTTCCATTTGCTACAACAAAAACTGAATTTATTCAACAAATGAAAGAAAAAAAGAAGGTTCAATTTCCTATTGTGTTTATAAATGATTGTAGATATTCTGGAATCATTGAATTAGTTACGAAGTTAATGGTATATGAAGAAAAAGATAGAATGTCTTGGGAAGAATTTTATTCTCATCCATTTATGGTTCGTTTATTAAAATAACAATAATTATAAACATTCAATTATCAATCTCTTTAATATTATTCTCTTTATCTTAGATAAATGGAATGACTTGAGGTACACAATATGATGTTGTTTGTGAATAAATTGGAAGTTGTTGGATCGAATGAAATAATGTTTTATATTCTTTTAGTTCTAACTGTTTTATATTTATTTGGTTAATTGATTGTAAGTAGCGAAGAACAGTAGTTAAATGTCGTTCATCTTCATTTAATTCATAAAAAGTTAATTGTTGAATACAATTATTCAGCAATAACAAAAATTTAAATAAATCAGTTTTTTTAGATTTTAATGTTATTAAATATAACAAAATTCCAGCATTAATACTCGTATTATAGATAATCATTTCATAGTTTTCTTGTTTAATC